CTTGTGACAAAGAGTGTCAATACAAGATTGACAGGTACATGTTTACATCAGCAGAGTAATCTGGATTACCCAAATACAGCATAAACATCATTTTAACATTTTAGATATTAGTCTTATAATATACTCACTTCTAGCTGTGATGTTGGCTGTGGCCTCAGCACTTCCAAGTGAATCCGTCAAGTATAACGTTCTGCAGTAGTATGTAGAAGCAGCACCAGCACATCTCAGATTTGTCAGGATGAACTGTATAAGTACATTTCCTAGGAATTGTACACACTGCCGTATATTTTCATGCTTTACATGACTATTGACTTAACGTGTACTTGGAGTAGGTGCCTTCCTTAACTGGCTGTGGACAATTTAGAACAGATTAAAATTAAAGTTTACTACTTTGGTGAAATCCATACCCAAACTCGTATCGAATTTAGTACTCGTACCAATGATGAGCAGAAAAGTGAGTGAGTGAGTGAGTGAGTGAGTTAGTGGGTGAGTCAGTCTTCGTCTGTAACGATTCGTCCAGGTGGGTATTGTAGAATTCTCCCCTAAATATACATTACTGCCACAGATGTCGTCAGGTTGTTGCCGTTTGAGTTTGTGGGGATTACGTGTGACCGATTCGAAAAATATTTCATTTAAGATACAAAACCCTCCCCGATAGCTGATTTCTACTGAAGACGGCTTCTAGTGTTAATATGCAATGAACCAACCACTCTTAAAGAGGGGTCTTGGTTAATAATAATGACATATTGCATCCTAATGACATTTAAGGTGGCCAACTGCGTAGATCGATGCTCATTCTGTTGATAACTGGATTGTCTGGTTCAGATTCGGGTATTTACAGACCACCGCCATGCAGTTGGAATACTGCTCAGAACGTAACACTGACGATTGCAGGTGTTTCCATTGTGCGGTCATCACAACAATAAGACAAATAATCCACGATAAAACATCACACAAATATAACTACACTGTGGCTAAATGTAGTAATAAAACTATACATTTGGTTCTACCAACACAAAATAAAAGCACAACTTTCTGTTCCGGGTTACCCCTATACGTTAAAATACCTCCTAATCGAGCTGGAATGTTTCTGACTGTGGCATTAAACATCAGCCAAACCAAAATTAACCTCTCCATCGACGACATCCACCTACCTCTTCCTTCACTGTGCATCTGTATTCAGTCTTAAACTGCAGCTCATTAATGCTATACATGACCAGAAATGGATTTCTGATTTTGGATGATGCCTCATTTATGCTCTTCGTGACCGGAAACACAATTTGGCCGATTCTGGGCGACATGAACGGGAATGTGTGTTTAGTATACAGAGTATATTCATTGTTGTGATCAAGTCATTGAATGGTATTTAGAAGGGACACATATAGGGAATGTCTGGATGTCAGAAACGTAACGTTTCCTGATGCAGAAGTAAGCATATATTGGGATACGTGGTGTTAGAAGTTGAGAACCATAAATACGAAATTTGAAGTCTCACTTGCGTGGAACACAAGGCTACAACAGAAGCTTGGTTTAGGGACTAGTCCAAAGACTTCTATTCCAGGGCATTGCCAGCTTGCAGCACAAATGGGTAAAGTGTATTGAACCGAAGGGAGACTATAGTGCAAAATAAAAGCTCGAAACCTGCTCTGACTGTTAATTGTACATCAAGTTCTCAAAAGTGTTCTTTCATTTATTTATTTATTTTATTATAGGATATTTATATAGCGCACATATAGTGCTTGCTCAAGGCGCTGGTATTTTTTCCCTCGATCACTGGATGTCAATCTCAGCGGCACATCATATTATCAATCTCAACTCCCTGGGGAGTATACAACTCTTGCAGCCACTAGGCGCACCGAGTTATTGTGGCTTTCTCATCCTAACGAGGTACCCATTCACAGCTGGGTGGACTGGGACACATAGTCATATTACTTTGTCCATGACTAAGGTAACGTTTCCTGATGCAGGAGTAAGCATATATATATTGGGAAACGTGGTGTTTTGTCTCGAAATAGAAGTTGAGAACAATGAATTCTCTTGCTAGTTGTTGTGGTGGTTGCAAAGGCAGTTCTGTAAGTCCTTTGTTATTTCATGTTGGTATCAATACGTTCCTCCATGGATCTGCAAAGGTCGCACAATACTCCTTCCCAAGAAAGGAGGCTTGACTGATCCCAATAACTTCCGCCCTATCACGTGTTTGAATACACAATATAGAATTTCACAGGGTGTCTGACACACCTCATGTTATCTTACTGTTCTTCAAATGATAAGGGAGCAAGGCAGGGATATTGAGGGTGCAAGGATCAACTTCTTCTACAGAAAATGATTTTGGAAGAGGTTAAAACATATCACCGCAACCTCTCCATGTGCTGGATTGACTACAAAAAAGCATATGTCCCTCATGAATGGATTCTGAAGTCTCTTCATTGTATTGACCTCCCTGAGCGACTACTTTACGAAGTCTTTAATGAGTTGCTGGTCGACTCAACTCGATATGTACTCGCAAGGGCAGGTGCAGAAATCTATTCCAATTAGAAGGGGAATATTCCAGTCCTTTGCTTTTTGTCCATCTTTGCAAAGGCAATTTGCCAAGTCCCCTGTCGTCTCATGTTGGTGTCAATACATTCAGTCATGCATATCCGCCCTTACCCGTGCTCTATAGTAAGGAGATCCCTCATATCACCGTATTAAAGCGCATATAATGCATCGACATGGTGACATGAGGTATCCGTTGCAGGTGGTTGTCTATAACACGATTCCAAAGTCAAGGCAACTGCATCCAACAAGGAAGTATGATGTGTAAGACAACTACATTCGTGCAAGCTGAGTCTCCCGTTCGAAGTCGCATGAACAGGTATGTTTGTTTCAAGTAACATTCAAACTTCTCTGAGCAGCAGTTGGGAAGTAAAATATTGATAAACTTTGGATAACAACTATTCTATTTCGTGAGTGCAGATTCTTGTAACCTTGTCAAGCATTCCTGATACAGATTTCGAGATACAGATTCTTGTACCATTGGTACGCATTCCTGTTACAGTTTCGTGTACCTTTGTCAGGCATTTCTGCTTGACAACGGTACAAGAGTCTGTATGAAAAGGTCGCAATCAAAATGTTGTTATCTTTAAAGTTTGCCAATATCAAATTCGTCATATACTGAACAGCTAAAGAAACGCAAGTTTCGAAAAACTTAAATTTCTTGAAGGTAAGCGTTCATATTTATGGAACGTTCATGGTAAAGTGACGTAATGATCCCAGATGAGATGATGTCATGCAATTTGACGTCCATACGAACCATTCGCACAAACACACCAACAGTGCAGCAAAACCATAATCTTAGCACGTGCGTCGACGGTTCTGGATGGAAAGCATGCATTTCACTCTGAGGTATTCTTTATAAAGGTTTGTGTCAAAAAACAGTTCAGTATTGACGCTAGGAGGTGTACACGTCACACTAACGATGCCTAGACTAACGACTGAGCAGAGGGGAGGGGCCATTGGAAAGTTGCACAGAGGTAGCTCTGCAACCGCTGTAGCTAGGCAATTGGGCTGTCATCTTACCACATTACACGATTTGCTCAATGTCATCAGCAAACCGGAGCTGCTGAGAACGTCCCCGTACCGGACGGCAACGAGTGACAACTCATACGCAAGATCGGTTCTTCCGGGTCACTCTTCTAAAGAACCGAACTCAAGCAGAAACAGTAACAGCAGCCTTAGTTCTTGGGTCAAGTGGAGTAGTGTCCAGCGATACGATTAGGCGTCGTCTTCGGGCTGCTGGAATCCACTGCCGACGGCCATATGTGGGGCCAGTTTTGACACGTTAACAACCCCAGCAGCCCTCACACAGCAAGGGTGTTAATGGGTCATCTGGCTCAGAACAACATTAACATTTTTCCTTGGGCGTCTTTTTCCTTTGAACATCCTGGGACGAAATTGGACGGAGGATTGGGGCAGGATGTAGACAGCCACTCACACTTGCACAACTGGAATACAGATTGGTGTTTGAGCGGAACCAATTGCCTCAGGCAGTCTTTCTGACTCTAGTGAACTCAATGAAGCCACGATGCACGACCTTTGTGCAAGCTCAAGGTGGCTATACACGCTACTAAAGAGACTGTCACTTTTCGCGTTCAGGGGTATCTCCATTTGACGGACTGTGATCAATTTGAACTTATTGCAATTCAATGTCAACAGCAACTTTCAACTGTTAAATTGACAGGGTTTTCTATAGAATAAATGATTAGACATGATTGTCTTCTATTAAGACAAAATGACAAAAAGCCAGACTTGCGTTACTTTTGCTGTTCAGTATAGTTATAGATATCTTCACCGAAGACAGGAGATGTTGAGCGAGGACATATGCAATATTATCTGTATTGTTTAGGGGAAATATGGACAGTCAGGTACATTGAAACAGTATGTGTCTTTCACTGGGAAAATCGTGTCCACAACTATCTTGTCTGAAGAGATCCGTGAAGGTCCGGGTTAGAATATTGATCTTCAGTAACCCATGCTTGTCGTAGGATGCGACTAACGGGATCGGGTGGTCAGGCTCGCTGACTTGGTTGACACATGTCATTGGTTCCCAATTGCGCAGATCGATGTTCATGCTGTCGATCACTGGATTATCTGGCCCAGACTCGAGTATTTCCAGACCGCCGCCATATAGCTGGAATATTGCTGAGCGTGGCGTTAAACACAAACCGACCAATCCTATCGGTAGCAGAGGTATTTTCATACCTATATTTAAAGGTTGCTGGAGAGATAAGTTGTTTCCTTCAATTCTCAGTTCCTCAAAGTTTAACACTATTTGAGAGATTTGCAGTTTAAATATTTGGGTGTTTATTAATAGTGCCAGCAAATGTAATCCGAAACCATTAGTGTGCACAGCTACGTATATTTTTGTTTTTCGTATTATGAAAAAGATAGGTGACGTGAGCCTATAAATACATCACATGTAAAGATAGATCTGATGAAACAATGCTTCAGTATTCAAAACTAAGTACTCTTCCTTTCACCATAGACAACGTGCATCGACTTATTTCAGAAACACGATTTTGTATTCGAGAGAAGAAAGAAGCATGCAGCCTTGTCACGCTGTTGGTGTCTGGACTTTAATGATCTTTGTCTGTGGAGGTCAGTACACACATGGTTGTCATGCATCAATATATACATGTACTCTTAAAAAAGTAAAAGAACTTCAATTTTAACGTACGATTGAAAACAATTGGGAGATATATCGGAGTCAATCAAAGTTGATATGATAATAATGAATGTTTTGAGAGTGCAGCACCACTTGCACTTCCTTATGACCATAGTTGTTTGTACAGTAATCGTTCTTGAAAGATGATGGATGTATGACGTGAAATTTGCATGTGTAGGATTTTCATTCACAAACAAAAGAAGCCGGCTAGAAACAAAAACTAACAACTGTGTAATGCAGGGTGATTGCCAGTATTAATGGTCTGCAGTGATTTATCGACCTCCTTGAAAACCGTCAAAATGGGTTAGAATTACACCCCATGCACGTGTATGGGGCTACTGCGTTGTGCACGTGCATCCCATGCGTTGTGTTTAGAGGTGGTGATAATGAGAAATGGTGTTGCGTTCATAAGAAGTCTGTCTTTGAAAAGTCTGTTAACGCTTATACTTCCTATCCAAACTGAAAGTTCAGGTGCCCCTACATTTATAAGCATCTCTTAAACTCTTTTGAGTCTTTAAACTTATTCCTATAAATCATTTGCTTTTCTCCCACACGAACATTTATGATCATGTTTGAAACGTATCAACACTCGTCCCTAAATAGAGAGAACGCAATTATGCTAATAGTAGTATAGCGCAAATATCCATCTCAGCTGCTCAAAGGCACCTTGTTTTCTCTCGATCATTGGGCGGCACATCGTATCATCAACCTCAACTCCCTGGGGATCATACAACTCTTGCAGCCTCGAGGCGCACCGAGTTAATCTGCATTTCCCATCCTTAGGAGGTACCTATTCACAGCTGGGTGTACTGGAACACATAGTCACAGTACTTTGTCCAAGTTTGCTGCACGTTCCTGTACCCGCAACAAGGTGTTTGTAGGTATTCATGTGACCACCATCTGGTCATTTACCAACGGATTCGTGGGTTTTTTTAAGTGCACGCTAGAGGTTGTGACAACACTGAAAGAGTCTGCACACAAAGTTGGCTCCAAGGTTTTTAAACCCGGTCACAGGTGGGCTCGATCCTTGCATCTCAAGCTCGCTGGATCACTGGCCTGGCGCCTTTGACAGCTGGACCACGCCCATAAAACGATTATACGATGATAAGACTGTAACATTGTTGATATTCACTCAGGTACATCATAAAACACAAACCCCTAATCCGTAAATACCAAAATATCATAATTTTATTTGTAGTTTTCGAAGAAATGGGTCGGAATAAACGTTAAGATAGAAAATGTACTGAAGATACTTGTCCTGGAATATCTGATGGCTGTGTGAACCCTTCAGTTGTGATTTCCATATTTAATATAGATTCTGCTGCAGATGTATGAATGTTTTAATCCCTCGTCAGTCTTTTACTTCTCAACGTCTGATCGATCGAAATGAATACATTCCGTTTCGTTTTCAGTCACTGGGGCAAGACTGACCACATCACCAGCACAAATAGCCATTGGAGGAAGCAGCCCAACATCTCAGTTGACTGTGGGATGTACACCAGATACACCTGGTATAACACAAGTGTTTTCCATAGAGATTGGCAAGAAATCATCAAATGGTTCTAATCAGCCCATAATACGCATGACGAACATAGATACGTCAGTACAAGTAGTGGACACAAGTCTACAACAGCGGATGACAGTCTCGGGTTCTATCAGTGGAGCAACAGGCAATATACAGTTAACCCTGACAGATCTGAGATGTGCTGATGCTGCTTCTACATACTACTGCGAAACGTTATACTTGACGGGGTCAGCTGGAACTGATGAGGCCACAGCCAACATCACAGCTAGAAGTGAGTATAAGAACTTTACCTCAAATGTTAAGATGCCCTTACGCTGTGTTTGCGTAATCCTGGACTGCTCATGTACCTATGCTATTATTATCATTATTATACTCATGCTAATAATGGTTGTCACCCCCCCCCACCCCAACCCCCCACCCACCCCACACACACTCTCCAATAAAATAAATTGAATGGGGTGGCAACCATTATTGGCATGAGTATATTATGCTAACATTTGTATAGCGCCGACATCCAGCTCAGTTGCTCAAAAGGCGCTTTGTTTTTCCTTCGGTCACTGGGTGTCAATCTCAACGGCACGTCGTACTATCAATCTCAACTCCCTGGGGTCATACAACTCTCTGCGCCTATGCATACCCTCGCAATGTACCTATGTCTGCTAGTACTGACATTAGTTGTTGCAAATAACACAAGAATATGAACAATTACCTTTTCTATCATATCTTCCAGCCTACCCAGAGCAGATAGAGATGTACTCAACTCCCGACAGGG